TTCATTTAACGCCGTGACACTGTTTCTTTTTAGTTTCCACTCCACAGGCAGCTTTCAGAAAAACAATCTTCAAACATTCACTGGCAATAATATTTATCTAATAAAATACTACACCATGTACCCACAGAATAAGCCCTTGTGATCTGCTAACCTTTTACGGAGTAAACACATTCAATTTTCCAAATACAAGACTCCAGTGAGCCCATTCAACATGGCCATTTCATTTCAATCCAGTTAAGAATGCAACCTTTATCCAAACCAAAAAACCAAACCCATCGCCATCGAGTCCATTCGGACTCATAGCAACCCTATACGACAGAGTAGAACTGCCCCATGGGATTTCCAAGGAGTAGTTGGTGGATTCGAACTGCTGACCTTTTGGTTAGCAGCTCAGCTCTTAACCACTGTGCCACCAGGATTCCAACCTTTATCCATTGGGGTATATTTACCTTCCCGTTTTTGAAGCATCAGCTTGCGTTTATTTCCACTTATGCCACCTAAAGGAATGAAAATAGAAATCAGTTTCAGAGTGGCTCTGAAGCCTTTAATTTCTCAAATGCAAAAATCAAAGTTGGAAGAAAGAACTGCATGCCCCCACCCTTCAGTTGGCAATTTGTCAATCCAGCAAAATGTGGATCATGTTAAAAGATTGGTTTCTCTTGGCAGCCCCCATCCTGTGTAATGGCCCCAGAGATGAGGTCACAATTGACACAGGAATCCTTTCCCATCATTCTTCCCTCATCCCCATATTCATACCCCCTGGAAAGCTATCATTTCTACACTGGCCTTGCCCCTTTCCTTCTAGCCAAGGCAACAATGTATCACTAAGTCATCAGTAGAGTCACAGTCTCTATTTAACGCACAATATTTAATGCTTGCCCCATTACCCATCATGCAGAGAAAACAAATCTCAGACTGCCAGTGGCTCATACTGGTGATCATGACCATGGGGCACCAAGGGCACTATAATCTGAGCTATTCCCGGCACTATAATCTGAGCTATTCCCAAGGAAAAGTGACACTGTCCTTTTAGCCCTTATGTAGTATTAAGAGGCTTACCCATCTGTCCTGTGTACCTCTGAGCCAACTTTCACTTTTCATG